GTTGAGCGAGAAGAATTGGAGGGCTCGGCGGAGGTGAACCTGAAAATTTTGCGGGCGGAGAGTTTAGCTAGAGAGATGGAGAGAGGGAACAATGGGATTCCGAGGAATAGTTCCATAGCCAAGTTTGTTAATGAGGGTGAGGGTGAGGGTCTTGTGAAGGCGATTCAGAGTTTTACTCTTGGACCTGAGTTGATACCAAAGCTATCTCGAGTTGGGAGATTGGTCTTGTATGGTGTCATTGCGTTGTGGGCATTGAAGAAGTTATTCACTTTTGGAAATAAAGAAGAGCGGTACTCGGAATTGGAGAAGGAAATGATGAGGAGAAAGATCAAAGCAAGAAAGGAGAAAGAGATGTTAGAACCGAGCAGTGTGGAAGTTGTTCAAGCAACTCCAGAACTGCCACTGGGTTCCTTTAAAAAGCCTAGCCTTGACAAGCAAGAACTTATGAAGGTTATTGTGAGAGAAAAATCGTCAAATGGTAACCTAGCTCTACAAGTTTCTCCAAGTTCCATGACTGCTGCTGTGAATACAGATTTTGATGATAAAGTTCATGAAATCAGAAATATGGCCAGGCAAGCGCGAGAAATTGAGAGCAGGGATAGGGATAGAAACGATATTCAGACTCCGAATGATGAAATTTCAGATGGAACTGTGAATGAAAATTTGGATGAAATAGAAGCTGTCAAACGGCATGGAGAAGGGGAAGCAAGTATTCTAACCAACCTTGTAAATAGAGATTTCAGGCAAAGTGAGGGTCGTGATGATACTTCTTCTACTAAAAAGTTAGACTTTGTTGAGGACGGGCATAATCAAACTTCTAGTATTTTGAATATAGAAGTTTCAGATGATAGGGAAAGCACTAACCAGGATGTAACAGACTGTAAATGGAATTTGCAGTTACCAGACAATGCTCCTTTTAGGGAGTCCAGCAAGTCCAGCAATGGTTCCCTTCAAGTCAAACCAAGGGTTATAAGATCAGTGAAAGAAGCTAGGGAGTATCTTTCCAAAAAACATGACAAAACAAAGCTAAATGAAGAGCCCCGATTTGAACCTGTCCCCAGAAATGATGTTCTTGGAAGGCTACGAAGTGATAAAGACTTTGGTAACAATGGAAGCCAGGGAGGGTTCGTGGTCAACAATGTTTTAGCTCATGTGATTCCAGATGAAACATCAGATCCTCCATCTACCGAAAATGCTTCTGAAGATTATGATCTGAAGGATGAAAAATTTGAAGCTATAAAAAGTGATAAACCTGATGAAACCGAGAAAAGACACTTCATGGACGATGATCAAAAGGAACAGGTTTCTTTAGATCATGAAAGTAGTAACAGTGATTCAATGACAGAACCATCTGTTAAATATGAGAAGTGGATGGAGGAAAACTTTAAGGAATTTGAACCTATAGCTAAGAAGATTGCAGTTGGTTTTAGAGATAATTACGTGGTTTCAAAAGGAAAAGCAGATCAAGAATCAATTATGAGTTCGGACATGACAGAGCTTGGATCTAATGAAGAAGATGACAGTGAACTTGAATGGATGAAAGATGATAGTCTTAGGGACATTGTGCTTCAAGTCCGAGATAATGAATTGGCAGGACGGGATCCGTTTCATATGATGGATGCTGAAGATAAGGATGCATTCTTCAAGGGTCTTGAGAAGAAAGTTGAGACAGAGAATAAAAAGCTGACGAAACTACATGAGTTGCTCCATGCGAACATTGAAAACCTCAATTATGGTGCAGGTAATTTTTGGACTCATACCTATTGATCTACTTCTCAGCATTGAGGATGACATAGATGGCCTTTTTTTTTTTTTTTTGTGAAAATTTTATAAATTCAGAAAGGGTCAATTTAATTGTATAGCATTCTCACTATGGTGAGATATTTCAAGTTTTTACTGCAACCAGTTCGATAGGCCTCATAGGTTTTCTGATGGTAGTTTACTCTTCTCTTTGTATTTGTTAGCTAAACCGGTTCCTTACATAACTAGATCCATTGACCGCTTGTTAGGCCGACTATTTGTTAATATAATCTTTCTCTTGGACATGGAAAATGGAGGGCTGTAGTTATGGTAGCTTTTAGGTTTAAATCTTTCCAACTAATGAGAAGATTGGATATTTGATTTTTCTTGAATACATATTTTGCTTGGACTAATATTTTGCTTTCCTTGTAGATGGTATCAGCATCTATGATCCACCAGAGAAAATTATACCCCGCTGGAAAGGTCCCCCAATAGAAAAGAGTCCGGAGTTCTGGAATTATTTGCAAGAGCAGCGGAAGGCAATTTTTGCTGAGAATAGTGAGATTTCGGTGAATAAAGATGAGCAGAACTTTCTTCAGAACTCAACAGGATCCCAATCCCATGAGAGTATTGCTGCTACTTCCATAACCAATGGCCCAAATAAGAAGGATATTAGCAGTTCAAAGACAATTATAGAAGGGAGTGATGGTTCTGTTAGAACTGGCAAAAAATCAGGAAAGGAGTTTTGGCAACACACGAAAAAATGGTCTCAGGGGTTTTTGGAATCCTACAATGCGGAGACAGACCCAGAAATTAAATCCACTATGAGGGACATGGGGAAGGGTTTAGATCGATGGATCACTGAAAAAGAAATACAGGAAGCTGCTGATCTGATGGACAGAATGCCTGAAAAAAGTAAGGAATTCATGGAAAAGAAACTCAGCAAGCTTAAGAGAGAGATGGAATTGTTTGGGCCACAGGCTGTAGTGAGCAAATACCGTGAATATGCAGAAGATAAGAAAGAAGATTACTTGTGGTGGTTAGATCTGCCTTATGTGCTGGTAAGCTAGATATGCACTTCGACTTTTCTGCAATTTTTTAAGCTTGATTTGTGCTGTCAATTCATTCCCCAGTAGTTTCATCTTCTGGAATTAGTGGTCATCTAACACTATATTCAAGTTCCGGGAGGTCCTGGGTTTCAAACCTCTAATCCTTATTCCACATCTATTTGGTTTTTAACATCCGCCTTGATTTTAAGCTTTATGTAGATATTTTTCCCCAATACTCAACCAGTAGTTAATTCTCTCTGTACTTACCAGTGCATTGAGCTGTACACAGTTGATAATGAAGAACAAAGGATTGGATTTTATTCATTGGAGATGGCTGCGGATCTTGAATTGGAACCGAAGCCGTACCATGTGATTGCTTTCGAGGACAGTAATGATTGCAAAAATCTCTGTTATATCATCCAGGCTCAAATGGAAACACATGGGAATGGCCATGCCTTTGTTGTTGCCCAGCCACCGAAGGTAAAGAATTAATTTGTTTTCAGTTCTGAAGATCATCATTCTTCAGTTGCAGCTGTTGAAAATTTCTTGCAATTCATGGTCTTAGCAAATTATATTCTCTCAAGAGAGGCCAACTTGGGTGGAATAGCCATTTTATATTTTCAATATCACTCAGTTAACAGGACTCGTAATGTTTTTCATTTTAAGACGAGACTTGAGATGTGAGACTCTATGGTTTTCATATGTTATCCCACTCACAAATTAAATCTCTTTCCCGACTGCTGTTCAATTGTTCCCCTTCAATTGTTCAGTCTAATCTTTATTGATCTGTTGAGGTGGGTGACCGATTTATCTGAACCGTCCACTTATCTCCTCTCCAGGATGTTTTTCGGGAAGCCAAAACAAATGGCTTCGGTGTAACTGTCATTAGGAAAGGAGAGCTTCCGCTCAATGTGGACCAAACTTTGGAAGAAGTGGAGGATCAGATCAGTGAGATTGGGAGCAAAATATACCATGATAAGATCATGCAGGAGCGCTCTATGGATATAAGCTCGTTGATGAAGGGTGTATTTGGGTTCAGCGGCAAACCTATTATGAAGTAATTTCTCAACTTTAATAAAGTTGTTTCCATACAATACTTACCTGGTTTATGGAACATGATTTCATTGTATTCTGTTTTCGAAGTAGTCACATTTTTGCATCCTGACTGTCTTGATCACAGAAAAAGACCAACACAGACGATGAAGAGTGCAATTGGTTTCAGCGGCAAGCGTGCTAAGAAGTAAGTCCGTCAATCTGATGGAGTTGTTTCCATGCAGTACTTAACTAGCACGGAACACCAAAGCATTGATTTGTGTTATTTTACCATAGCATTTTATTTTCTTAGTACGACCATTTTCTTACGTCTTGATGTCTTTGATTGCAGAAAAAGATCGAAGAAAATGCTGAAGAAGCCCAGCAAGAAAGAAAAGTGATGCTTCATATGCATGCTCCGAGAGACAACAGTAATAGAGTATGTAAGAAGTTCATGGTAATGTCAAACTCCGCATGCTTATTCTGGTCGCTGCATAAACGCCGGACAAACTCTGTACAAAGTACCCGGAGCTCCATGATTTGGTGCCAAGCATTTACCTTTCAGGTTACCTTTTACCGAAGTCACCGTCTCGCGCATTCTTACACCGGCGCAGAAGTTGCAATAGTCAATTGTGCATATTGCCCATTCTTCTCACCCAAAGACTAGCCATTGCAGCAGTTCAGCTAGCTCCCAATTCCGACTCCGAGTGGTCACTTGCAACAACACATCTTCGGTGCTGGTTCCTTAAATATTAATTCCTATATATTTGCTTTAATTTGTGAATAATTTCCAACCTCATTGGATTTTGCCCTTTTATCTTATTGTAATTCCAACTTAATTTAACAAGCTGGAAAATGCATCGACTGAGTGCACCGGAGTATTAATGGAGTAGGTGGAAGCGACGAGTGTATACGATATGTTTCACCGTAGCATTGGATGCAACGTGGTATTGTATATTTCGCCCACAGTACACGTTGCTGATGGGTCCAACAAATCAAATGGCTCATTTAATTCATTTAAACCGAAACAATTCCGATTGTATCAATCACCACTGCCAACAAGTTGCCATTTTCCTATTTGATTCTTAAACATTTGTCAAAATATAGTTGTCTGATACGCATTTTTGGAATTTTCTGTCTTCAAAACAAACTTCAGTGCCATTACAAATGGATTAGAAATTGTCACGAAATGAACCACGAACTTCACTACAAGTCAACCGAAACTGGATTTTGGTCAGTAAGGAAAAGCACGAATACAAAAGAAACTGCGGTCTATCATGAAAAAACGGATACGAAATTGAAGGTGTATGGGCAAAAGGAGGGCTAGTCCTCTTGCTATACAAACATATGTACGCTGATCACATGGTCATACACACTTTATGTACCTATGTTCTCCACATGATTCAGCATCCCGTTACGAAGGTGATCTTGCAATCTCATCAAGGCGACGGTCCATAATTTGGGACACGGCCTCAAGAAAAGAATCTTCACTTGAATCAGGGAGCACAGAATCCTCTGCTTCTTGCACTATCTCCTCAATGACGGATTCCTTGTTCAAGGTTTTTCTGCACATTATGTTTCCTATGGCAAAGGGAGTGAACTGTCTCTCTGCCCCTTTCTTCAACAGCATGGTTGAAATGCGTAGTGTGCGAGCACATTTGCGGGGCATGTACCATCCATGGAACTTCAAAAGGGCAATATCTTCTTCTGCATCCAGTGATTTGATGTAATCAATGACCTCGTCAGCATAAGGCTTGCGTGCTTGTGGCCAATACAACCAGTCAAATGTAATGTCTTCAAACTGCAGGAACAAGACAATGCACATGAAATTAGTATTACAATATCAGAAAACAAAAATGAAAATAAATCTCCTAGATAATGTCATGGCAATGAGCTGATGACTATATGATGCAGATAAATTTCAGGAAAACGAGAAAAGAAACGCCAAAAACAATAACAAAATGACAACAAGGACAAATCACTGCCAGTTAATAAAAGTTTAAGTGAATGTACTTACCGTTTCAGGTAAGCAGTACCCATGATCGATTGGAATCAGCACAGTCCGGCCATCTTCACCCTCTTTGCCCAGCAAAATGTTTCCTGCATGCCTGTCTGCATTTGCCAATCTGATATCCAAAACAGAAATCTTATGCACTTCCTCAGTTGGGAAAGCTGCAGGGCCCATGTCTTCACAACTTCCACTATTCTCCATGAACTTCTGCAAGGACCCAACCTTAACAGTTGCATCCCCAGGATGGTTGAACACTTTATGAAAGCACTTGACAATAAATGTTGGGGGGACCCCAGCAAAGCCCTTTGCATTACCAAACAGCATGCGATGCCCACCCATTGGATGATCCAAGAGGTAAGCAGCCACTTCTCTAAGTGCTCCTTCTCCAACTCTTGTTCCCCTTTTCAATCCTTCACCATCCAATGACAATGGCAGCCCCCTCGGATTGTTTTGAGCCATAGGCTCCTCATCAATTGGCTTAAAAACAGATACATACTTTTGACCTGAAGAGTCTGGCATAAAATACGCTCCTCCAGTACCCTCCATGGACCTAATTGGATAACTCCCACTATGTAGTCCATCAGACGTGTCATTAACCATGTCCCAAATCTGGGAAGGTAATTCAATCTTGGGGTTAACAATGACAGGCTCCAACAAAAAAACCCTGTCAGGAGGTTTTCTCGGCACAACTTCATAACCTCTCTTAAAGTCACGCTGACCAGCATCATACTGTCGCTTCACATTATCTCCACCAACTTCATAATTTTTTCCATCATCCAACTGTGATGCCACGACTGACAATTCAAAGTTCTTCTCAACTGGTCTGGCCCTAACTTTTGCAGACTTCCGAACCAACAGATGTAAGACAGCATCATTATGTTTACATAAGTCATCAATAAGTCTCTGATCTTCAAGTAGTTTCCCATCACACACAACTTCTTGTTTTTCTAGATCAACAAACTCTTTATTCTTCTTTGCAATCTTTTGTTTCACATATCCAACATCTTTACCACGTTCGACATGGAAGGTAAACTCTTTCCCACAAGTTGTTTGGACATTGATCTCTTGAAGGTCAGAAAGCCTAAGGACCAAATGTAGAATATTCCCATCCGTTACCCCATATTCCCGGAGTATGGAATTGCTCCTAGCCAGTTCTCTACCTCCACAAACTAACTTTTGCTTCTTCGCAACAAACCCTTTGTAGGTTTGTATCCTAAGCTTCACTGACTCAATAGAGTCCGATTCCAAAACACTAATGGGAGTAGTTGACCCAGACACAGAGAGATATATCAATATCGATTCATCCAAAGACATACACGGTTGGGGAAACCCGGGCTCATTGTGAGCCGGAGTAAGAGTAGCAATACCGGCGGATGACATTATGCTCTTATTTCGAAATTTTCCAAGAAGGTCAAAAAGCTCTTCAAATCAATGCAGAACTTTCAAACCCTAGGAAAACTATACACGTATTTACAAGAATGCAGCCATATCTAACCCTAAATTGACCACCCGATTAATACCCAGATGATCAAACAAACCCTAGATTCAATTTTCACAAACTATACAACAAAAGGAACAAACTTGAATACCCTCCTCCCCTCCAAACGAAAAGGGAAAAAGTACCCACAGATCCAACCCCTATAAATCCATCACCTACAAACCGAAATTACAGAACCCAAGTGAAAATCCAAGAACCCACAAACCAATCGGCAAAACAAAATCCTACAAATTGGAACCAACAAATTACCAAGAACAAGTTACAGGGGCAAATCAATAACAAAGATCGATCACGATTCTTACCGAGAAGGAAGAACCGGAAAGAAGGAAGTGACTGAAGAGAATTCAGCTCGATTGCGATTTGTCGTGTAGCAGCTTAGGGTACGTAATTCGGGGGAAAATGAGAGAGGAAGGGGAAGGAAGAAGCGTTTAGACGGTGAGATGAAAGGAGTGGAGAGAGGAGAGGTGAGGTGTTGGATTTTGACGACGAATAAGTAATTTAGATTTTTAATTAATTAATTAAATTGCCGTGGGAATGTTCGCAGAAGCAACGCGACAGACAGTTGAAGTGCTGACCAAGTTAAGGAGAAAGACGGTGGGAAAAGTTAAACGCCCTTTAAGCAGCGTGGCTTGCCCAATTAGGAATAGCCACGTGTCTAATGGCTGATTAATCGGTGATTAATTTTGTTTGGAATTATTAGAAATGACTGAGTAAAAAAAAGGAACCAGCCTTTTCGACCAAACAAAAAGAATATTCTTTTTTGTTGAATGAAAGAAAGTAAGGATCCGATTGCCACATTTTGAAATTTGAAAAACAAAGTTGCTCAAATGCCAAATTGTAAAGGAAATATTAGAATATATATATATATATAATTTTTTTTTTTTTAACAAACGATATTATTTAGACTAGGGGATGAGTTTAACCTCATAATATGCTAACAATAATATAGTTTAAATTCGCATTTTGCGATAATCAAACCTAATAAAAAATTAGATGGCTTAATCATCCCGCTGGTTCACAGAGACCAGCATGGCTTGCAATTATTGAGAAAATATATTTTTTTTCCGAAAGTTTTAAAGATGATAAAGTAGTTTTTATTCTCTAATTCTTGTATATGTGGCGGTCTTCTTTGTTTTTTTGTATTCTGAAGTTTTATTCCATGTGATATTCTTCAACAAGATTTTTTATCGAGCTCTGTATTTTTAGGGTACAATGTCGGTCTATTTGTGTTGTTGTTTTGGATTGCATTGTATATATTTTGTTTTATATGTATTTTTTTTTTTTAGAATTATTATTGGCGCTCCAAATTCTCATTTTACACTCCAAACTTTCTATATTTAGAAAGAAAATACATTTGTGAGGAATGTAAAATGAGATTTTTGGAGTGCTAATAACACTTCCCTTTTTCTTTTGTGAACAAGCGATATTATCTATCCAAAAAGGGAGGGGAGAGGGTGGGCTTAGTCTCACAATGAGCAAGTAATAATTTGTCTAAATTCGTCTGTAGTAAGAATCGAACCTAAGACCTTTGTTTTGTTTGGTCTCATGATAACTTATTTAGGAACATGTCTTTTTAAGACGCAACTTTTGTTCCTAATAGTTACGTTTGAGTTTAGGATAACTTTTTATTTTAAAATTTCTACTCTTTATTGGTGTTTGAATAAAACATTTTTTCCAAACAAGAAAATTGGTATAATTACCCTTTTGGACTTCGCAATCAAAGGCTAGTTGAGTCGTATTGGACCGATTTTGGAAGGTTGGGCTTACACGAAGCAACTAAGACACTCGCTCTGCTTCCCTTTCAAAAAGTCTATGTTAAGAGAGGGAGAGATTAAAAAAAAAAAAAAAAAAAAAAAAAAAAAAAAAGAGGAAATACTCCTAATTAGATCCAAATTCAGTTGTTCCGTCCTTGTTTCCATCTCAACATGTGGTCTCACGACTTTGTAATAACCTTCTTAATTCTATTCTAAGCATTCTCGAATCGGTATTTTTACCTTTAAACTTAATTATCTATAATGGTGCATATCTCTTTACACCTAATCACGTGACGAGAGAGATATAGAAAGGGCTGTGTGCCCTTGTTAAACCCGAGGTTTTGCCATCTTGGACACATATCCAACACACAAAAATTGTGTTTGCATTAATCGTAATGCTTTCCATTTGAAAACATCCTAGTATGACCTTACAAATAAGTGAACTTCAACAATTAAGGCAGACCGAACAGAGCAATTAGAACCTCCTATATCCATGGTGTTAAGCATGCCGCCAGCGTTCATCCTAAAGCTGGATCGAACTCTCCATGAGATTCATAGTTGCATTGTACAGTTTTTGTGTTCGTATACAAAGCGGACTCGGAATAGTCTTCCATTCAAGCCATGACTTGCAGGCTAACAGATATGTTCAGCACAAAGCTCATTTTTTCCACACTCCAAGCACGCTTCTGCAAATTCTCTATATTTCCTGCAGGGAGCAACCTTTCTGGTTTCTTGCCTATTTTAGGTCATGGTTTAGATCTTTCTGCTTTATTGTTCAGCACAAAGCTGGGAAATGCTAGAGTTATGTCCCCTGCAGAGAGAACGTACGCATACGAAAACTAGAACACCAATGAACCGGCATATCAGACACATGCTTGTGGTGCAAGAGATAACGAGGATGACCTAAAATATGCGATACTTGTTCAGCGATTTACAAAACACTAACTAAAGTTTGCAGAATGCAGGTTTAGGTTTTAGGACTTACATTAAGTATGGAAGAGTCATGTTTTTCAGCAAAGAAGGGTTTTGTGCTACGTATTCCTTCCACTCTTCCTCGTCAATTTTACCATCCGATTTTCCATCTGCATCCTTGATTGTCCGAAACATACAAGAAAGTTACAATCATCGAGATCACAAACTGGGGAACTGCAATCATCAAAGATAAACGGAGTCAAAATCCTTGCCTTGTCCACAATCATTTCGACAATATCATCTGAAAGAACCAGATCAGACTCGTCTAAAAGCGCCAGCACCATCTCCTTCAACTGTTTTAAAAATTGTATCATTTGAAGCAAGATCACGATTCATGAAGGAGCAAACAAGAACTTAAACCTCAAGGACTTTTAGTTAAAGGAGAAACCAAGAAGGAAAAACAAGAAACGTCAAGTGGACTTACCTCTTCGTGCTCGATGTAACCAGTGCGCCTCAGATCATATAACTTAAAAGCATCTGCCATATCAATGTATGTATCAATTTTAGTGCCTACACATTTGAGCTAAGACATGCTAATGCTACTGCCAATTGAAAACTGAAATTTTTCAAACACATGGGAATTGGCGAATGCATCACGAGTCGAGTTCTTACATGTAGTTTTGACTGAGTCAGGAGTTTTTGGGTGGAAAACGCTCAATATTTGAACAAATTCTGCAAATACGGCCATTGTCGTGGACATCAAAAATATCAAATATCTACAAAGCATGGCAGAGCAAAGAAATTTTAGGAATTAGAATCCTCATGCAAACACTTCAGTATGCATTAGTACATGAAAAATCAAAATCATGCTTTTTTTTTTTAAATGAATACAATTTACAAAAAGGGAGGGGAATGGTTTAAGCTTCACACCGAGCTTACCATAATAATACTTTGACGAGAATCGAATCAAGGTATGTTACTTACAAATGAAGAATATCATTAGATCGCAAAATCATACATGTTAAGAGAGTGAAAAAAACAATATTAATGGTAATTAATTTAACACCACATATTTACCTTGGCCAAAAAGAGGTTCCTCTTATTGTGATTTTGGTAAAGGGCAAGCTGGAGCTTGTTCATAATAAGCATCAAATTATAAAAGCAGTAGAAAAAAAAGGTCAATTTTTCAAAATTGTTCTTTAGAATTAATGCAAAGTTAAATCAAATATTAGTAAACAAATACTTCATATTCTGAAGACCTTGTGTATGAGCCGTCTTTAACTTCAGAACTGCTCACTCTAAGAAACTGCCATTTCCCAAAACATCAGCACAACATCAGATTATCAAACTTAATTATAACAAAATCAACCCAATATATCTTCAATCGATGAATGTTTAAATTAAGAGGTTGTTTGATAATCATTTCGTTTTCAATCTGAAAACTTATTTAGTTACCAACTTCAATTACGAAAACTTCAGCTCGATTTTTATAACTAAAAAAAAAACGCTTTTGGATTTTGGTTTTCAATTTTCAAAAAGAAAAGTAAAAACGAAAAGCTAAAATGGTTGTCAGGCGCATGGGGTTTGGGAAGCAAGAACAGCATGATGCTCGTCCAAACCAGATGATCCCGAACTGGCACGTTGGCCAGCTTTTGCTTTCCTTTTCTTTGAGATGGAGGAGCCCATTAAAATAATGGAACTTCCTCTTCCTCCTCTTCTTCTTGTTTTACTTCTTCCTGCAGTTTCAGGATTTCAACCTTTGGTTTTTATTTTCTCGTAATTTGACTTGGAGAAAATATCTGTAGGGTTCTTCAAATTTTCGTATGGATTAAGAGGCAAAGATGGAGACGAACAAACAATTATAGGTTTCTTGTTCGATTCAATCTAAGGTTGTAAGCAAACGGTAATCAAACTCGTGTCAGCTAAATGCGAGGGTCAACGTCGTACACCTGTCGATCACGGCTTCCTCATCATCAAAATATAAAGAACAGATAACTGCCAAGAGACTCCAAGAAATGGATTCTCATGATTCTCTATCCCTTCACCGTTTTATATTAATTTTTTAGGATAATAATATAAATTATTGTGTTAAAAGTATGAGATGGGAGAAAGTTCCATTTTTGAGAAAATCTTTTTAGCATTTCTCTAAAGGATAAAAAATAATATGAATCATCTCTGGATCATTTTTAGAAGAATTTTAATGATCCATAAATCATGTCCGTTCATTATACATCGTGCGATCAGAAATAATTTAAAATTAAATATAAATAGTACTTGAAGAAAACTAACCGCACGATGTACGACGAATGGACACAATTTATGAATCCTCAGAATCCTTATAAAGAAGATCCGAAGATGATCCTTTCTCGACAAAACAGAACCCAACTCTCAAGTTATTTGATATCTTATGTTTCGAGAATTTACGCTTCCATCACTCATGTGCTCTTTCGTGATGTTTATGATAAGCGATATTACTATTCTTATACTGTAAGTTGTAATAAGAAGAGAAGCGAGCGTTTAAATTCGAAATGCAGTAAGTTAAAGAAAAGGCCCAACTCAAACAAGTGTAGCTAGTACCTATAGCTCGAACGAAATAACATCAAATGCTTGATTAATTACTACTTTGATCCATTTTTCGCAAAGAAGAAAAAATGTCAGCCGTGTTGGTTGAGAGGTAAAATGAAATAATCTTGCAGCTTCTTCTATGGAGACAAAGCCAAGGTCGTCAACTATTCACAGAATCATACACAGATTGTTTACAGAGTTTCAGCAGTCCCCTTTCAAGCCAAATTTCAGGCCAACTTCTTGGGAATCCTGAAACATCTTACAACAAATTTCCGGCCCTGTGAATACATTTCTGAAATTTGTTCATAGTCAGCGAGGGCCAGGGATCGGTTTTGCGAGGGACAAAATAACATTGCTATCATCAACATTTTGAACCAATGTGTCTCTGGTTTTGAATGAAGAATTAAAGTACAATGACTTATCTGGCCATGTCAATACCAGAATGTTGTGTGTCAACAAAAATCCGACCGAAATTACCTGCGAGGTCAGTTCAGGAGGCAACCAAGCTGCCCTGACAACAAACGCAAGCGACCACAATGCCGAGGAGAGCTCCACCAATAACCTGGGAGGGAGTGTGGCCAAGGAGTTCCTTGAGCTTTTTCTGGCTGATGGGATGCCCTTCGAACAAGTACTCAACGACTATGTTAAGGACCTGTGTCAAAATAATTAAAAATATATATGAAAATGTATACAACTCGGCAGCAGGAAGTAATAACTATCACGGCCCAACATACATGCACAGAGGGTTCTCTGGCGAAAAACATATTGAAGGGTTCAAAGATGACTAAAATGGCATGAGATTGCTCGAGATTACAAAGGATTGTCCCCTCATTCATACATACTATAGATATTAATATCGCCTTAAATTTCTCTTTCAGTTCTATGAGAAGTTAAAAAACCGAAGGTTTCCTAGTTATCGAACCTGACCTAAAGCTACATACACTCCCCAAAAATAAACTTCGCCGGAAGTAAAGCCCAAAAGTTCAAGTTTTCTATATTGTTTCAGCTTTCAAATAATTTTTAGGATCAACTGGGAGCTGCAAAAAATTCTCACAATATGCCCATATTCCCTTGTTTACAGATGATCAAAGCGTAGTATTCACACGCATTGCACACTCAACAGGCCAGGCAGAGAAGAAACTATTAAAACTTGCTGAACTTGTGAATGCATTGCAGGAGGACTGCAACTCGAACGTGAAACAAAAAAGAGGAAGGATGTTGCATTGTGCTTCGGCACTGCGCTTCATGAATTGTTCACAAAGATGATTGCTTCAACACTACCTATCAGCAACCTCATTAACTCTAAAACCCCAATAATCTAAAACCAATGTCATCCCCGATCCTATCCAACTAAAGGCCAACCACACCAACGTCTTAATCGATTAACTTTAAACCTCCATACCCGATAATCACATTCAACTGTATTATCTAGATTCTAGTCACCCTTAATCCTCAGTAAAATATTAGCTCCTAATTTGTAATTATATTTCATCAACTTCATTGTACTCACCTCATCCATTGGGACCACTAGAAGTTCCATAACTCCTTCCTACCAATATGCAATATTACACTAATCAACCATACCAAAAGTACCTCTTGAAACCAATAACATCTCAAATAAATTACAGATATATGCAAAAAAATAAAAAACTACATGCACAACACTTGGAACAAAAATAGAAAGAACGGAAATTTACTGCTTACCTCTGCTTGCATACCAGCATGCCGTCGAACACCAATAGCATCATACATAACAATGAGACTGAACCCCAAACTAACCGGAAAAAGCGAGTCCGCGACGCCGTGACAGAGCGCCACAGACGTCGTCAATGCCGTGCACAACGCCGAGTGCGACGACGGCATACCTCCGGAGGAATACAATATTCTGAAATCCCACTTCCTCTCCACAAAGAAGTTCAGCAAAACCTTCATTGACTGCGCCATAAACCATGCGAAAAAGCCCGAAACAAAGGTCGGATTCGCAGCCAATTGCGCCACGAAAGGACTAATTTTCACCTTGGCATTGGTCGTCACGCTCAGCAGCGCCACCCCAATCCCGCTATTGTGTAAAAAGTCATTGCTTTTTGCTTCCACGAAACTCTCTGGCCCTCTGTAAGCCTGTAGGAAAGAAACCCACTTCTGGGTTCGTGAGGAGGCCAAGACTCTGATGCTTTGGAGGACCGGGACCAAAACCCAGAGGAGATTTCGGGGGAAATTATGAGAATCCCATCTGGGTTTTGAGTATTTTGGATTGGAAGGCGGTCTGTGGGAGCAGGAGATTGAAGACGTTGAAGTTCTGAGTTTTCTGGAGTGAGAGAATCTGAAGAAGGAGAAGGAGGAGGTTGCAGCGGCGGTGGTGGATTGAAAGGGGCTGAGATTAAAGGAAGTGAGAGAGTGTTTCGTTACAACTGAGTCCATGAGAGGATTTGGGTTTCAGTCAGCATTTCACAGAGAGAGAGAGAGAGAGAGGATGTGAGAAGGTGGTGGAAGCAGAGTCTGGGAATAGTGAAGGAATGGGGAATTTATATGGGACGAGAATTTGTGGCGGAGAAGAAGGCGTATGGGTTGATTTTACGGTATTGCCATTGGACGTCCAAATGGGGAAGGAATATGCTAGAGAGTCTTGAGTGCCTTTTTTTCTCTTAGGTTTTTATTTTGGACTTCTTTGGAAATTGATACACGAATGTTCTCGCACTTACGTCCTGTCCACTCTCACTAACGGGTAATGGGACCAGAAATTTGAACTTGTACAATACTTTTGTTCACTCAATTCTAAGGCCATTTTGTCAGTATGTCGGGAATACAATCAGTACATTAAGAATCATAATCCAAGTAACTAGATGCTTAAACAAAATGTTTAATTATTTGCATTATGATATTTGATGTACTTCGTCATACTGAAATAAAGCCAACTCACCAACTTAACCAGTTTGCACAAGGTGGAGCCCAAGCACAACGTTGGCTCGTACCTAAAAAGTAAACTACATTTGGCAAGCCCGTTCAGTATATTGACATTGGAATTTTATTGGAGATTCCCGATTATGATGAGCTTAGGATGAAAACGGGACATTTTGGGTTATTTGGCACTCCATTAAAAGTGGCGGAATTAAGATTGTTTTTCTATTATTATTAAAGGATTGCTTTTGCAAACCAAACTGGAAATTACTAGTCTTTTGTATATATTGAACAAATCGACAGTTTTTGCAACTAGTAAATTTTGAGGATGAACCATTCAATTATTTAATATATGTAAATAATTAAACGATCTCAAACTTGATTGATTTTTCTTGCAGAGAACTAAACATAAATGGTTATAATTATGACATTTATATAATAACAATACGTTAATCACATGTGGATGGACAAGAAAATGTGTTATCCTTTCTTAATAAATAAGTGGAGTTCTTATTTAATCAACTAAAGTGGGGTTCAGACTTAGAACATGTGGCTTTAGTGATAGAGAGCAATGTGGGACCATGATTTTTTAGGGCTGAAGTAAGATAGATTGGGAATGGTCATGCACCTAATGGTTCCAATCGGATTGAGCTGCTCAAACAGACTAGCGATGCCACCATATCTTGCTATGCTTCATAAAGGTAAGCGAAGTTCACCTACTTCGCTAAGATTGACTATTCTTGTTTCACAAGACATGAAAATCTGATTCGATTAGGGGTCATATGGGTTTCCTATATTTTTCGAGATTTGTACAATCTATGAATTGACATGCATTACAAATAATCACACTCCTGAGAGAACACAATATCTAATCCTAGAGAGCGTTTGACTAGTACTCTAGCGGTACCTTAGGTTAATTGTGGTTGTTTGTTCTTTTACAGGTAGTCGGATTTGCCTAGCTTCTCTGTCTACGACAGTGTGCAAATTTGATTCCAACAAGCACTTATACACTCGATATTATAATATATTTATACTACAATATATTTACATTAAGGGAGAGATGACAAATAAAATTGAAACTGAACTCATAAAACCTATCACGTACAAATAAAAAGAAATTTCCACTAGATTTTAAAATTTGAATAGACCATTGAATATGGAGAGAATATGGGAAAACCAAATTTTGCCAGCGGTTTTCGATATGGTTAGGAGTTGGGCTTAAAAAATGAATTCGTTTAAAGCCCATAAAAGGTTTAGATCCGGTAGAATCGGTCCACGAATCTCTTTGGGCTATTAATCTAAAACTTGCCCAATTTTCAAACTTTGGACGCATCGGAAATTTTCGCACCAACGACCCGGAATTCCACCACCCTCCAAAATTCTGTTATTTCTCTCTCTCTCTCTCTCTCTCTCTCTCCCTCTCTCTCTACGCTCCCACCTCCCACCGATCCTCGAAACGACTCGACTCAGCGATCCGAAACGTCCGTCCGATGGAGAATCTGATATCGCTGGTGAACAAAATACAGCGGGCGTGCACAGCCCTTGGCGACCACGGCGAGGAGGGCGCCATGCCCACTCTCTGGGACTCCTTGCCCGCCATCGCCGTCGTTGGCGGCCAGGTCTCTCATTTCTCATATCTCCCTCTCAAATTTCACGCTTTCTTGAATTCAATCTCATCGAGTTTCTCGTTTCTCGTCTCTCGTTTCCTTTCTTGATTCGACAGAGCTCCGGCAAGTCTTCCGTGTTGGAGAGCGTCGTAGGCAAGGACTTTCTTCCTCGCGGTTCAGGTACTGCATGAAACCCCGTCGTTTTGGGTTTCTAACGTGAACGCATTGGTTTTCCGGTTTGGGTTTTGATTCGAATACGTTGCGTTCAGGAATTGTTACGCGGCGTCCTCTGGTTTTGCAGCTGCATAAGATCGACGAAGGAAGAGAATACGCTGAATTTATGCACCTCCCGAGGAAGCGGTTCACAGATTTTGGTAATTTCCTTCTTCTTCTTCTTCTTCTTCGTTGTTCCTGCAAATTGTTTCGGTTTCTTGACCTGCGTTGCAAATGTTGATCTTGTTTCTTTGTGTATGTGTAGCTGCCGTGAGGCAGGAGATATCTGATGAAACCGACAGAGAGACTGGCCGCTCGAAGGCAATTTCTACCGTTCCTATCCATCTTAGTATCTTCTCCCCTAACGGTGAGATAGAATTGTCGAAAACTTTGAATTGTTGGATTTGACATTCGCAAAAATCAGAATGTAGCTAATCGGTCTGATCGGTTTGGAGCTCACAAAGTTTTTCTAGTCGTTTTAGTTCTCTTTCACTAAGTTTTTCACAGTCATCTTTACTATTTGTTTAATCTTGGCAGTTGTGAACTTGACATTGATCGATCTTCCTGGGCTCACAAAAGTCGCTGTTGGTGAGTTAAATTCCTTTAAGAATTTCATGTAGGGTTCGATAAATTCCCTTGGAAGTTGGCACCTTATGTAAGTTGACATTGTATCGATTTTTGTGGTCTTGCAGATGGTCAAGCGGAGAGCACAGTGAAGGACATTGAGGATATGGTTAGGTCCTTCATCGAGAAAGTAATCTTCTTACTGTGTTGTTAAGAACATTTATGAGCTAGTAGATTACGAGACTTGTGTGTTGGTGTTTCTATGAGATGTTCAGTGAGTTTATGTTTCATCTCATGAAATATGCTTAACTTATTGGACCAATATGCCTTTTCTTGCCAGCCCAACTGTATTATTTTGGCAATTTCCCCTGCCAACCAAGATCTTGCTACTTCTGATGCAATTAAGATCTCTCGTGAAGTCGATCCTAAAGGTAAGATTGCTACGTGGTGGGGATGACTAATAAGCCTACTTAATTCCAAATTAAAAATAAATAAATAAATAAAAATAAAAAAAAGAATAATAAGATTGAGCAAGTGAACAAATTTGACAAGTTGTAAACAGGAAGGGTGAAGATGTGAAAACGAACGAAAAGGATAAAAAGATGAGTTTTAATTTGTAGCAGTGAGGTGAAAGGAGGATATCAAGATTTCATATGTTTAAGTTTTGTTTCCTCTGGTTTTGGGAAATGCTCTCGTCTTCGGATGACCAAAACATATGCCATTTCAAAAGTGGCAGATTTCACTAATTAGGAGTATTTTCCATGTACACACATTTATTTTAAATTTGGTTCCATTTCTCAGGGGAGAGGACATTTGGAGTTCTGACAAAGATTGATCTTATGGACCAGGGTACAAATGCAGTTGATGTAAGTCACTTCTGAATTCATAGCCAAAAGAGGAAAAAGGAAGAGAAAAAAAGAGCGCAAACCTGTTTGCTTTTAAGATGTGGAATCAAAGCAGTTTACCTGCTTGGTGACATTTTATTGTCTTGTTTTAGGATCCCTTGTTTTAGGTCTGTGAAATCTAATGTTATGAGTAAATTGTAAGGGCGATGCTCTGAGATCATCAATGCTGCACGCATGTTTTCACGATCTGTTTTGTACTCAAAAAGTCTCATTACAGTATCGTTATGGCTGCCTACATGAGAGTTTCCAGTTACTAGGGTTTATTTTACTTTTACTTTTCAGATTTTGGAAGGAAGATCATATAAGCTACAGTTCCCCTGGATTGGCATTGTCAATCGCTCCCAAGCTGATATAAACAAGAGTGTTGATATGATTGCTGCTAGGCGTCGAGAGCGTGAATATTTTTCTAGTAGCCCAGAGTACAGGCATCTTGCAAACAGGATGGGCTCTGAGCATTTAGGCAGGGTGCTTTCTAAGGTATGCAATTTGCTCTTATAGATTATAAAGTTAGAGAAGCATACTTAAGAGATCCAGTCTGCTTCCTTTTAATGATACATTTGCAATGGTGGTCAGTTTTTTTTTTGTTTTTTTGTTTTTGGTTTTTTGTTTCACTGATAAACTTCTTACCTATCACTCAACGTAATCAAACTTTCAGCATCTAGAAGTTGTCATCAAGTCTCGAATTCCAGGCCTTCAGTCTCTTGTCAGCAAAACTATTAGTGAACTAGAGGCAGAACTAAGCCGACTCGGGAAGCCTATTGCTGCTGATGCTGGAGTAAGGATATACATATACATAGTTCCTTTTGTCTTATCCTTTCCTTTTTTCCATGAAAAGTAATGTATGCCTAGCCAAGTTTTCTTGGGTGGTCTATGTTGTTGTATTGTATGTATTACAATAAGCATTGCTAATGTCAGTTTGATCGTTTTTTTTTAACATGCAGGGAAAATTATATGTGATCATGGAAATCTCTCGTACTTTCGATCAGATATTTAAAGAACATCTGGATGGCGTGTATGTATTGTGCTATCATTGTCTTTTTTGAAGTTAATTGGAAAGTTTGTTTTCATCTCATTCTGGTTTCCCTATTCAACCTTGGGATTTATGATAATTTTCAATTTCTCCAGGCGCTCTGGTGGTGAGAAAGTTTATGGAGTCTTTGACAATCAGTTTCCAGCTGCTTTGAAACGGTTGCAGTTTGACAAGTATCTTTCAATGGATAACATCAGAAAGCTAATCACTGAAGCAGATGGATACCAGCCTCATCTAATTGCTCCTGAACAAGGTTATCGTCGCCTTATTGAATCTTCCTTGATTTGCATCAGAGGT